ATCTTTAGATACCCTCTCTAGATTCAGATGCAACTAGCTGGCAGAACCTGGGGAGCACGCCCACAGACTTGGGGTCAGGGAACAGAGGGAAAGAAATAATCTGCCCGTTTTTGATTCTGTGATGAAAGGCAGGCTGGTCTCCCCAATAGGAAGGATGTTAAATGGCTTGACATCCACAAAAGCAGTTATTCTGGGAAAGACTTAAGTCTCAGGAGGACAGGGTTTGCAACTTTCCTGGTTGGATTGTTCAGGGAAAGGCTGCTGTTGGTTATATATAGTTCCATGGCAACATTAACTGGTTTGCAAACTTGTTATTTGCTTTATTCAATCCACACCCAGTGACTATATTGATTTATTTCCTTGTCATCAATTTCATGTATGAGACATGAATAAATATTGATTTTGCTTCAAAACTCTGGTAACATGAATGTGTTACTGTCTAGTGGGGCTGGGGTTGTTGTCTTCGTTCAGCAATGATTTGAAGAAGAGGACATAGAGGTAACAAGTAAGCAGCAGATTTATTGCAAAAGTGATAGAGATAGACTTCTCTGGAGATAAGGGGCCCCAGAACTGGGAATCTGGTGGGGGAATTTTGGTGTGTTCTTTTTATGGTCTCTGGAATTTTCTCCTTTCCTTATCTTTTCCCCTGTCCATACTCTCCTCACTGTTATTGATTGGGGGCCCCTCTGTCCATGCATCTGTTTAAGTTTTTCTACTCAGGAACACTGTCTGATTGGGTCCCTGGTTTGTGTCCAGAAGTACTTTCGCCAAGCAGGAAGTTGACCTCATTAGAAGATCCTCTCCACGCTCCTTTGTTCTGGGCCTGCCCCAAACTCCTCATTAGCCATCTTGCCCTGGCTGCCTAAGCCCTTCTACATCTCCCTCAGAGAGTGCTCCTGTTGAGTGGACAATGATCATACTCATACTACCCATGGCATCATAACACACATTCATTTTTTAAACTTTTTAAAATAGTGAGGTAAATTACACACAGAGAGAAGTCATAGGACATAAATGTGCAGTTCAACAATAACAATGAAAAATTCTAATGTGAATACTCAGTCACCCTGGGGTGCCCCCTTCTAAATCTCTACTCCTCCCTCGACTTAGAGATAGCACTACTGTGACATTTCTATTTCTCATTATTATCCTTTTATTTTTTATCTTGCCTTATCTTTCTGCCTAGAATTTCTGGACTAGTTTTGAATAGTGATTGTGATGACAGGCATTTATGTCTTACTCCCAGTATCAAAGGCAAAAATTTTAATATTTATCCTCCATCATGAAGTTTGCTCCAAGTTTTTGATAGACATTTTATTATCCTTGGTTTGCTAAGAGTTTTCTTTTTTTAATCATGGATGGATGTTGAATTTTGTCACATGCTTTTTCTGAAGCTTTCAAGATATTTATTTTATTTCTTAAAAGGCCTTCACAGAAGTCATCTCTGGACTAATGTTGGATGGGTAACATTTTTGTTTTTTCTTCTAGTTTTCCTACTTTTAGTATCATTCATCATATATCACAGAATATGAAGTTTGGGAGGAAACTTAGAGGTGATCCACCATTATACTCTATCACGAATCTCTATAGCGTCTTCAGTGGCTGTACACCTTAATATTTGCAGGGATAGAAAATTTACTGTCTGTGTCCATTGTCTTCTTGGAAAGCTCTAATCCCAGAACTGAGATGTTCATCAGTGTCTTATTCATGTTTAGGGCCAAGTTTTGCCATATGGGATATGTAGAACTCTGAGGCATGCAGAGGGGCAATGTGTTTGGTGGGGAGCATTTTGCCTTCAGAATCAGGCAGATCCAGATTCAATTCCTGGCTTAGCCATAGACAAGCTGAATGAGTTTGGGTTGGTACTGTGGCAGATGGTTTAACAGCCACAAATTCCTTCCTTCTCAGGAGACTCCTCCTTTCCACTGAGACTTTGCAATGCCTGTTTTCCAGAGGTAGTCTGTTTCTCCACTTCCTTGAATCTGGGCCAGACCTGGGACTTGTTAGAATAGAATGTGGAGCAAGTGATGCTGGAAAAGTTCTAAAACTTAGGTCTTAGGGGCCCTTGCTGGCTTTGCCTGGGTCCTCTTGGGATACTTCCTTGAACCCATCTTGTATGGAAGTATTCTAGCCTATTACAGGTGGGAGGATGCTTAGAGGAGAAAGGAGGAGCCCCAGCCAAAGGCCTGTGTTTGCTGCCAGACATGCCAGTGGCGCCATCTTGGAGTTCCCAGCCCATATGACCTCCTACCTGAACGCAGCTGCATTATTAAACCCAGGAAAAAAACACCTGAAGCTGAGGAACTGCCCAACTAATCCACACAATCATGAGAAAGTATAAATCATCGTTTGTTTAAGCCACTGAAGCACAGCAAAAACTAACAGAGACAGATATGTTATTTAATTAAACCTCTGAGCTTCTGTTTCTGCCTTGTTAAATGGGAAAAAAAAAACCTTTTTTTTTTTTGGCATGGCTGCTAGTAAGGATTAATTAATATAAAGTCTGTGAACTGTATAAGTAGGTGGCACTGTGATGGGTACATTGTTAGTGCCAAAAAAATGGTAGCTGTTAGGATTGCAGTTATGTAAATCTTTTAAAGCAAATGCTCTCTCATCATTAGTTTTACTTTTCCAGGTTAAATCCTTTTCCTTTGACTTCACCTCTTTTGAGAAGCCTTCCTGACAAATTTATTATATTGGTCTCCTTCCAATTGTCTTCCTAACATTAGTTACCTTTATTTTGTTAATGACTCTCCTGAAATAGTACAATAGATGCCATCTGATCACTGCCTGTTAAGGTGGGTCAGTTACCTTCAGTAATAATACCTTCTACACAATGGGTGCCAAAGCAATGCTGCTCTTTTATTCACCCAGCCCAGGCCAGGGTTCCTTTTTTTAGTTCAGGCATTCCCCTTGTCTTGCATTCAGCTTGCTGCTGATTATAACTCTTCTTGCTCTAAGTTGAGCAGCTGTGAAGTCAGGTTGCCCTTTTTTGAACTTAAGCATCTGTTTTCTTGGAAATCAAACGAAGGACTTAATATTTAATCTGGATGAATTTCTTTTTGTTAGTCTTAGCCTAGCACTCCAGCTGGCCAAAGAAATCATGATCTTATATCTGTTATTTTTCTCCTCTTGATATATCTAGATTGGGTGATTATTATTTCCATGTTTTCTATAAGGTACAAAAATATAATGTTAAATATGACAGAGGCAGGGAAGAAACTCCAAGGCACACCAATGAACACCTCTTCCAAGTCTAGCATACAGCAGGTACATAGTATTAATAATCATAGCACGTGCGAATGCTTTTTCAAAGCCTACAGATTGCTCTTTTGTACACTAGATCTTTAACCCAGGCTCAAAGTACCCAGTGGCAGTGCATTTCAGTTTTATCCATGTGGAGGTATACATGGGCAATTCTTTGCTGAAATCAAGACACCATATCAAATAATGTTCTCTTGAAAAAATTCCTAGTGAGCAGTAATATCACCATGTGTCATTTCTCCTTGATTTATGGGATTACAGTGAATATAAAACCAGATAGAATCCTATAATTATAATTACATAAAAATTCTTACATCAGTCACGGATGTCAGTAAATCACTCTATTTCTTTCAGTGCTTTTGAAAATTCAAAGGCCTGGAGTTGGGGGACAGTTATGCCCGAAAAGAATTTTTAATCAGTCCTAATAGCGAAAACATATCTGAAATCGCTGAGGCTTTACTTGAATTTTCTTTTTTTTTCTATTTTCATTTTCTTTTTTTTTCTTTTTTTTATTGTTGGTTGTTCAAAACATTACATAGTTCTTGATATATCATATTTCACATTTTGATTCAAGTGGGTTATGAACTCCCATTTTACCCCGTATACAGCTTGCAGAATCACATCAGTTACACTTCCATTGATTTACATATTGACATACT